TAATCGTTTCTTCTTTTCACCTGTGGAACTCTCTTCCGGCTTCTTGTTTTCCTGCCAACTACGATCTTCAAACAGTACATTGCAACGTCAATTGTCATCTTCTGTCTTTGTAGATCCTGTTCTTTGATTGCTCTTTCACCTCAATAAGCTTTTCTCAGTTTTATTCACACCCAGTAAACTCCTTTCGTCTTAGTGGCTTTATTGCCTTGCTTGGAGGGAAATGATTTTTTAAAAGTACGGTTTTATCATCTATATCGATTAGCATGTGTCTAATAACTAAAAACTAGAATTGAAAGTGGAAATGACCTAAGCATTTACAACTGAACTTGAGAATAAACAAAAAGTAAACAATGTATTCAAAGAAGTAAGAAATTTTGACATTTTCTAAATAATGTACTTTGAAAATTTAACAAATCATAAATTAAATTAACGACTCGCAAATTGTTTAAAACTATAGCACTGTCATAACCTACATCCTCCTGACGTCAGTTTAAACTGACATATTTTTTTTCCTTATATATAAACCAATGTTTCTCAAACAGTGTGTCTGCGGAACCTCAGGGTTCCGCAAGAGGTCGCTAGGTGTTCCGCGAGAAACAGTGATAAATAGGCTTATGCATTTTTCTTTAATTTTATATTCGTAAGTTTACTACACACATACGGCATATTGTTGGGAAATCCTTTCTCCTTATAATAAAGGCTTCAACCTATTATATTATATAAAATTATAATAAGCATAGGCAATTTATTTAACGATGTCTATATAGTGTCAGTGTGGAAACACCTTCTCTGGTTAGTGAACAGGACGTATACGTGCGGATTCGTGTACATATATTGTTTACCACGTGAACTACGAGATAAATATAAAAGCGATAGATATTAATAATGGTATATAATAATTTTTATGCAGACATAAAAACTATTTCAAGGGTTTCCGATGGGTAAAAAGGTTAAGAAAACGCTGATCTGTACTATAATTATAGACTATAATTATGTAAATGTTTCACAGAGATATGTTGAAATTTTTCTGTTTTCATCTGAAATCAAAAAAATACGAAAAATGTTCACAATAAAAGAAAAAAAAAAGACTTCAGTTTAAACTGACATTTTTTCCCGCTTAAATCAAAACTAGGTGTGCTCAGAATACGTCCCGTGGGTTGTATGCGGTCCACGTTACCACTCAGTGTAGCCCGTTAGGTGTTTCGAAAATAGTAACTTTTTGTCATCATCAGAATAGATTCGGCGACTGATTACGTCCGAAAAATTAAATTTTGTAGTAGCATGACTTTATTCAGCCAATATTTGGTTTTGATTAAGACCTTACTTCCTTTGGGCGACATTAGTGCTTATGCGCCATGTTGTCCCTCAGTAATTTAATCTAAACATTTATTATTGCGAACCGAAACTAATTTTTTGCGAACAATGCTGCTTTTAACATTTTCTAATTGTGCAAGTCCAATTTAAATTTATAATTTCGGAAAGCGAAATTCTCATTGAAAAATGTTCGAAAATTTCCGGATTTTTATCTGAAACAAAAGAAATAAAAACTTTAAGCAAAGTGATCATAGTATATGTAAAAAAAAGAAAAACTTAGTAAATCCCTATGCTTAAGCACTTCGACATGGTGTAATGGTTAACAAGTTATTCTCGCTAGATCAGTTACGACTGAGTAGTGAGTTCGATCCTCACTGGGTAGTCTATAATTTCGGCCTTGTTACTCATCCTAAGCTACGCTTAGAAAATCATTTTAAGGCGCCTCGACGTAGTAACAAGCTTGTCTCACGAGATCAGTTACGACTGATCCTCATTGGGTGCCTCACTGGGTTCATTTAGGCCTTGTGCCAGAACTAAGCTAAGTTTAATAAATCACTATGCAAAAAAAGGGGGTCAGTTTTAACTGATGCCAGGTCGATTTCGACAATTATACGATTTTACGGCAGATAGTTTTCAAGAATTTACTCTCTTCGCATTATTTATTCAAACAGACTATACGTGACATAACAAATACACTGCCATCCAGTGTCTACAGTGAAAGAAAAATACCTTTTTGTAGTCGCTTTACATTAGTGATATTAACTGTTACATAACAGAGAAAATGTACCCAAATACGCTTAGCTTATTACAGTGTCTGATTATTTTAAACACGTAAACCAGTGGTTTTCTACCTTTTTTGCCAAATGCTCCTTTTTCACTCTAAGTTTGAGTGTCACCCAACTCCAATTTCCAGGATTTTCCGACTCAAAAGGTGCATTCCAAATAATATGCATATGTTACTGAAAATCATAATTATTTTCCTTATTAGTAAATACTAGCAGCATGGCCCGGCGTTGCCCGTCTTTGATTAAAAAATTCGTACGACTCATGCAGCAATCGCTATCACTTGACTTAAAATATTTTTGCCCTTCCTTGCCTTTAAAGGAGTGCCCTTTGCCGTGCTGATGTTGCTGCATGCCTTACTTCTTGCCTATCTCACAATGCTATTTTTTTCTAGGCTCTATACTAAACATTAAATCTGTTACGAAAAAAGAACTAAACAAAATGAACACAAAACGGTCAGCTTTAAAAAAGGACTCGTAACTGGAAAAACCGAATGAAAAAAGAATGTTAACAACAAATACTTTTTCACACCCAACCCAGTTCTGCGGAATCAAAATCAACGTTAAGTTTAAGCAAGCGAATGAACCAACTGGAGTAAAGTGCCATGCAGATTTAAATTTTTCCCACTTTTGACGAATGCAGCTATCGATTTTTTTTTTTTGCATGCTAGCATGCTAGTTAACATTCGTATCAGTCAGGTGATGGCTCTCACGCTGGCCAATAGAATCTTCCTGCCTATTCGTGGCAGCCAGCTATAGGCTCTCACTCTGGCCAGTAGAAAATGGCCGCAAACTGCATGAAAACTGCCGTAGAAGCATGAAAAAATCGATTATTTCCACTATCGATGGGAGTTGGGAAATGCAAAGTCGGTCTTGGCCTTCCCGCTAACTTAGAGCATGTGCATGTAAATTTTGGTGCAAATCCGTCGAAAATTGCGGCCGTGCATTCGTTACACACACACATACACACCCTGTCTTTTATAGATAGATACAATTACATGGATTATTTTTAAAGAATAAAAGGTTATTTCCTCGTAAATGAATATAGCGAATCTGACTTGAATTGGAACTCGGCTCTCCTATACCGAAATGTTATCCATTACACCAAACCCACATCCATAATCGCACCACTTTGTATATACAAGCTGTCACACATCTCGGTACTGTCAAGCATCCAGTATTCATATATGAACCAGTGTTTCAACATGATATGGCCGTATGAACGCCCCCGTATAAATTCTAGATTATTCTTATATATTTCCCAAATAAAAAGATTTTCTAGCAGCTCGAAGATTTCATTGTGCCTTACTTTATCAAATGCTTTTGCATAAACTGGCAACTGATTTGTCACATATTCGTTCCTCCACTTAACAAGTAAGATTTCCGTATCGAGTCTTAAACAGATTCCCCGGAAAAGTAGTAGGGTAGACTGGACTCTCTAAATTTGCTTGACCACCAACATAGAAAAAGGTGAACTGTGAATTCAAAGCTAATTGAGTGTGGATCTAGCTACTCCACCTAGTAAAACCTACTTGCTACGACAACCGCAGAAGCTACATTTTTTTTAATCATATTCACCCCAAGCAAAGCAGTAAAGCCACTAAGATACGAGAGTTACTGGGGGTGAAAGAATTAGCAAACAGAAAACATTTTGAAGGAGCGAGTATATAAAAGTAATCAGGAGGACAGTAAATAACGATTGACATTGCATTTAATTTTTTGAAGTTCAAAGTTGGCCAGAAAGCATGGAACCGAAAGAGAGTTCCACAAGCGAGAAGTGTAAAAAAAGAAATCTAGTACTGCGTTGAAATTTATTAAGTCTAGTTACCATAGCGAAGAGCTCGTCCAAACAATTACCATGAAAGTATTTATAGAATAAGCATAGGAAAGCAATTTTACGACGGCGGGAAAGTGGCTGAAGCCGAGACCAATAATATTCCCCATTCTTCTTTGGATTTCATCAAGGATTTCTAAAGAAATAGCAGGACCTAATATTCTGAGTATGGACGAATGGTAAACTCATAGATGTATAAGATAGATTCAGGAAAGAAATTGTTTAGCACGTCACTGGACCAATTTTCTTAAATCTGACCTAGCAATAGATTCAATGTAGTCTTTTCACTTCATGTCAGCCAGGAATTTTAATCTGGCAAGGCGCAACGTATCACTCTCCTAGGGGTTAGCATCAGCCATGCCGATGGAAGGCAGAAAGGGGGTCTGTCATATGATTAACAGTTTAGTTTTAGAGGCGTTAAAATTAACAAGTCATTCTTTACCCCAGTTAAAAAGAGCCTGTAAGTCATTTGTGAGATCAACCGCCAATTTGACCTTATCGAACTGATCAGACACAGCATCAATATAACACGGTCTGCGCTGTCAGTACTACGTTGGTCAACTGATCGTTATCTGCTTTCCGCTTCGTTCCTTCATCTGCTTCTGACCCACGTTGTGTTCCTTGATCACAGAGAAATGAAGATTGAATGCGTATTATACATGGAGAATTACGGTAGTTAAAAGTCTTCACTACTATTTCTCTAGTAGTTTTGTCTTCAAGGTTAAGATTGCTTTAACCTCTAGTTGAATCAACTGTTATTTATATAGTATAGATTTGCATATGAATACAACAGAGGGAAAAAGTGTTCAATTGAGATGGGAAGAATAGTTTCAAAAGGCATCATGTCGACATAGACATCAGAGTATATGACGTTTGCAAACTTCTTTTATTATTATCATTATTATAATTTCTTTTTATTGCCCCAAACTGAAATCAGTATTTCAAAACAGCCGACGCTTTTGCATTCACTCCTGGCTGCATCTTTGTAGATCAAGGGCAGGTAAGTAGCTTTGGATTAAGGCAGACCACGTTTCGGACACGGGAACTGAGAAAAGGTGATGACGTCAACGATGGTTGTTGTATCAACTGTTGGTCACGTGGACAACACGCTGCCAAGGTGGGCCGAACCGAGCGCTCCCATCTGAAGTTGAATGTAAACAAGAAGAGCATAAAACATTTTGACGTCAAACTGGCGGTTATCATGGCATCCATTTCCTTAGTCCCTGCAATTTTCATCTCTCTCTCTCTCTCTCTCTCTCTCTCTCTCTCTCTCTCTTTCTCTTTCTGTCTTGTCCATTCTCTCCACATTTCTCTTCTTCTCAGTGTTTGTTAAGCTATACCTTGTTTTTTTCTTTCTTTTTGCATTTTCTTTCTTTTTTTCTTTTTCACTTTCTTTCTTCTTTCTTTTTCTTTTTCCTTTTTATTTTCTTTCTTTCTTTTTTATTTTATTTCTTCTCCCATGCTTGTTTACTTTTTCTTTTTTCTATTTTTCTTTTTCTTTATATTTTTTCCTTTATTTTTATTTCTTTCTCCTTTTTATTTCCTTTGCATTTTATTTATTTTATTTATTGCCTTCTTTTTCTTTTTTTTTTTTTTCTTTACTTTCTTTGTTTCCTTTTCTTTCTCTCTTTGTTTTCTTTCTTTCTTTCTTTCTTTCTTTCTTTCTTATCTCCTTCAATACGCCTTATTTATTTTTGTTTACTTTTCCCTCGCCTCCATTATTTTTCATTTCATTCTCTTTCTTTTAATCCAATTTTTTCAGACATTTCTGTTTTAGTTGTCCTCACTTCTTACTCCCCCCTCTCTCTCCCCCACTTCGTTTTTTCTTTTTTTTCTTTCTTTTTTTCTTCCCGTCTGTCTCTCCCTTTCTCCCACTCTATCTCTCCCCACCCTCTCTCTCTCTCTCTCTCTCTCTCTATCTATCTATCTATCTATCTATCTATCTATCTATCTATCTATTACCTCTTTAGACTAAGTCCACTTTAAATCTATCACAAAACCAAAAAGCAATAAAGATAATGTAAATACATACATGTTTATATTTATCAGATGTCAAAAATCTCCATCAAGATATTACGATTAAAACTATTTAAATGCGCCGACAACTCACGGATTATTTTTTTTTTCATTTAACCTTTTAAAATTCGTTTTATGTCAGTAGTTTTTGTTTTTATGCTACATAGGATACCTAGTGACAGAATTGTTTACTTATTCGGGACATAAAAAAAAAAACTTGTATATGTCAGCAATAAAAATGTATTTAATACACTCTTCCTGCACCTCAACAAAATGGCCACACTTAAGGATGCGTGTACCCAAGGTTAAGAACTACACCACTCCGCCAAAGTAAACATTCAGCGAGTCAGTTATGTGCCATGCGAGATACACACTTAGGCGATTATGCATCTTTCGATACCTGACTGACGAGGCAGATTTTATTTCCCGCAGCAGGTTGCCATTTCTTTCTGCGGTAGACCAGTTGCCATCTAAGGCTATAGAATCCGGTCTAGGAGAAGGACAACTCTGAATTCAAAAATTGTGGAAGGTTGTTTGGGAACCTTTCGTCACGTAGTGCACAAGGTCTCTGTATTCAGCCCTTCAAAATGTGAGGTTGGTTCTGCACAAAGCCTTCACCACTATAATCAAATCATATGTACTAAAGTTTGCGCTGTCGGTTCGTAGGAACTGAGCTGCCTGACCCTCATACGCCGAATGCGTTGGGAGAGTCCATTATATATATATATATATATATATATATATATATATATATATATATATATATATATATATATATATTATACTCTGCTCTACGTTGTATATTGAGCATTTTATTTTTTCTTACTCGATTGTTTTTTGTTTTGTTTTTTTTTCTTTTGGCAAGGCATTATGGTGTTGGGCGATTTGTTTCTACATACTCAGATGTTTTTCGTCTTTTCTTTTTTTTTCCCAGATAGCGGTTTGTTTAAATATATTTTTATTTGCAAATTGTATTATCCGGGTTTTTATACCAGTCGAGTATAGGTATTAAAATAACATACACACACAGACAGACATACATACATACATATATATATATACACCCATAATATAAATAAAAATAAATAAAAAATACATCTCTTCTTTCCTATATGCAGAGTGTATCAGAATCATCAAGAGAACAATGAATAAGTTTTAAAAAGTGGGAACGCTAGATAGAAAAACTGGATCAGGAGGTTCAAACAGGACCATCATTTCAAATTAGATCTAACGAGATCAATTAGAAAAGAGCCAACTCAATCCATAAGACGTTTGGCACGTGAGTGAGTAGTTTTACCTATGACAAGCCAAAGAGCAGTGAAAAATGAGTTGAAAATGAAATCGTATGTGAAACTTTTGAGGTAAATGTTTACTACAGGACAGAAAATTAGAAGGTTAAAGAGGGCGAAGATCATCTTCAATAAGTTGGAAAAGGATCCTGGAATAATATATATATATATATATATATATATATATATATATATATATATATATATGAACTTTATTTTAATCTTTCATGAGCTTCCGATCCTTAGCTATGATTAATTACGGATGAACGTTATTTTCGTTTATCATCGATTTCATTGTAATTTTTCTTGGAGAGTAATTATACATTGGAGAGTAATTATACATTCTTATTGCTGAAATTAGAGTCCAATAATGTTATAAAAAAAAACTAGTAGAATTCTAGTAAGATATCTTTAATCATTTCTAAGATACAATGGTTCATACCTTTAATCTAACAATTGGGCAATTTTGTGTTACACGATTTGGACAACTCTGCTGCTTTATATATATATATATATATATATATATATATATATATATATATATATATATATATATATATATATATGTATACACAAAGCAAAGCAAATTACGTTTGAAGTTTCAGTACATATTCGAGTTTTACGGACGTATGTTCATCACATCAGCCCCCCACTCCTAAGAGCTGTCATCAATCGCGTAAAAATGCTCAAACGCCATTCTCTGCAGTTTCCATTGCAACCTCTCCATAATCGCACCCACCTTTTCCAAAGTGAAACATCTGCGCAGGTAATTTTGCAACTTACTGCCGAAATTCTCCCGCACCTGTCGCTACATTCGTCTTCACCTGCCGAGAATATTTCCCCAACACTCATTACGAAAGACCTGCCCCGTTCCCGTTTTGTTTATGTAAACTGCAAGACGCTTTACGTCATTATCTGCAACTAACGTAACGCATACGTCTGTGCACCATTATTGCAGATATATAGATACACACATATACATATATATATATATATATATATATATATATATATATATATATATATATATATATATATATATATATATTAACGGCACTCGGCTTTGCGCTAACGTTCCTTCGTTTGAAAGATTTGCATCTGTCGTAAAATGGTTTTGCCTAAACGTTTTAACTAATGTTCATCTACTATAAGTTTCACTTATTTTGGTGGGTTGTTGAATGACTTGTAATGTTATGGACATAGCAGAAGGATGTAGGAAGTTGAGATTATGAGAATATGGAGGACAGATAACGGTTGACCCTAGATTGTAGCGATTAGAGTACCATTCTTTCGAGATCGTCTTGCCCTAAGTCGGTGTTCTCGGGAAGAAGCTATCCGAATAAAACTTCCTCCTTACAAACAGAAGACGAAGTGAAGCGGGCAGGCTGATGATTCGTCGCAATGTATGGCCAGTCTTAGCTATGAAGGTTAGAACTAGTGGAACATTTGCCATGGAAATATCGATAGTGCAACGATAGGCTTGGAACGTCCGAGACGGGGTGAAAGGGGCTGTAGAGAAACTGTCGTAATTAATGTATCACAATAAGTTTATTTCATATACAGCAAATTTAATATAGTCTGTGTTTCTTCAATTTCTAAAATGTACTATTTAACAAAATGTAAACACTAATGACTTTGCTTTGTTTACTGCCTACTGTTTATTCCAGTCTGTGATATAAATGCTGAGGTCGTTTTCTTTGAATAATTATACCAGGGAATTATGAAAACCATCAACTAAACAATCGCTAATAAAGATTCAAAAAGAGCAGATCACAGTTATTTTGTAAATTATTATTTTTAAAGCTGAATTAAAAAAAAAAATGAGTTATTTCCATCATGAAAGAATTATGCACAGAATCTAATATGCCCAAACCCAAATCTATGATACAAGCATCCCGCCTTAATACATCTCAACTTCAATAATGTAGTATTTATATAAAATACAATTTTAATTACAATCTAATTATGTACACTAATGAATCATAAATAATATAAGTTATCAATTCAATTAGAAAAATTAAAAATAAATACGATGTATCTAAATGCAAAATTCATGTCATAATAGATCATTTCATCATACTTATTATAAAACCCAGGTTGTGTGTGTGTGTGTCTGTAACGTTTATATATTGGATCGGATTTCCTACATTTTTCAATCGATTTCAACAAAACTTCACAGGACTACGTAAAATTACCTTGCGGTGGTTCTGACAGCGCCAAAAATTGGAAAAAGACAATTGTTTTAGCACAAAATCAATTTGAAAACACGATTAAGAGTCATCGCGAGAATGAAAGGGGGACAACTCATATCGAGTTATACTTATTATAAAACCCAGGTTGTTTGTGTGCGTGTGTATGTGTGTGTTCGTTTATATATGGTATCGGATTTCCTACATTTTTCAACCGATTTCAACAAGACTTCACTTTTTTTTTTTTTTGGCAGGTAGTGCTTCTTATTGTCTTGCACACTTTTTCTTTATTTTTACATTCAGAATACTTTAAAAATTCCATTTACAAGACAATTGTTTATAATAAAATTCTATTCAATCGATAGACTCATAACGATTGAAAACAATGTTTTTGTTTGAGTTTGGGTTTGACCAATTCGTAAAAAAAAAAAAAAAAAAAAACTAATTAAGACATGCGTGTCCGTCAACCTTAAACAATAATCTTTGTCAATTTTATTTTTCAGTCTTTATGATGGTGGATACTTGATCTATCTCTTACTGATACATCCCCGGGCAACGCCGGACTCTACTGCTAGTCTTAAATAAATCAACAATGTTTTGCGGCAGTTTTTAACATCAGCTTGAGGCTTATCTTGTTAAAAAGTTGAATAACTTAACACATTATGCATAAAAACTGGTGAATTTCGTTTCGAAACTTTGAATTTCAGTTACAGAGGTCAAGCCAAGGGGTGGATCACCCAAAAGGATACGAATCCTGTCGCCAGGGCTAAGGGAACTCTAAAATAAATTTAATGTTAGTCATACGACACTCGCACGCGAATGGAAAAGGAATAAAAACGTTTCAGCGGTTGGAAAATGGAAAATTCAGAGAATCGACAACGGGTCGATTGTTGCGTGTCATTGCTTACACGTCACATTCAAGTTCCCGTTTTGGACAGGCTTGTTACTAGTGATGAGTTTCTCATCACAACACCGTGTCCGCCATCTGTATGATAGTAAACATACGAGAGTAGAGTTCTGTGTTAAAAGATCGGTTCATGCCTTTCTCAAGGGAATCGATGCGATGTAAACTTGCCAATTTCCTTTTTTCACGACGATTGTTTTGTGTGTCTTTACAATTTCGTGGGTCTTTACGGCTTTTTTGGTTATTTAAATCCCCAAAATATTTCGGATATTAAGCGCTGTCATCAGTGGATCCGTCGAGGAAACATAGCTGCTCAGAAACCGAGAGGAGAACCTCATCCGAAGATTCTCAAATTGAGTGAATGGTAGGATATTCAAGCAATCACCCATTATGAACTGTTACAGCATGTCAACTCTGATCTCTACAGGCAAACAACTTTATCGTTTGAAAGCAGCGTTGGACAGAAAATGACCATCCTTAGTCGATAGAAGGGGAGTAATCTTCCATCACGATAATTCCCACCCTCACACTATACGAGTGCTAGTGGTGCTCAGTTGGGGAAAATTACTCCAGACTCCCGACTTTACT